CTGAACCAAAAAAACCCTAGTAGAACAGAAATGCGCCCTGGAAAATGGACAGTAAAGCAGACTGGATTTACATTGGAAGTTATTGCAAAGAGCCACCACGCAAAGGTTCTTTAAAAGTTCTTCTGGAGGGGGGGGGCACATAAATGTTATGCAGGAAGCTTTCACTGTTTCATCCTCTTTCCCTCTCTCTTCTCACCCTAACCCTACCCCTGCATTGCATGCCTATGCATTTGTGTGGTCTGTCTTTTCTCTTGTTTACCATTTGCTTCCGGTCTCTCTTTTTTACTGAACAGCTGCAGTTCCGGAATCCTGTCCCATAAGCATTGAGGAATAGGTATGAGATACATGAAGTCCTCTGCTGCTCACATCTGGAAAACATACAACTCTCATTCTGCAATATAGGGTTCTTTCTTTTTTTAAGGCTTCTTTCCACGAGCGCAATGTTTTGAAAAGAGAAAGGTCCTTTCTCTTCAGGGTCAAGTAGTTCTTTTCATCACTTGGATAGAAACATACCTAGAGAACTCTTACTGAATTCAGTGGTGCAAAGAACATAGGAAAAGGAACATAGGAACCTCTGCTGCAATTCAGAGATGTTGTTTGCACCTATGACCATGATCCAAAAGCTAGTAGAACAGGGTAAGTTTAAGGTCTCCTGCTCAGCTGAATTTTGACATTCAAACCGCACCTGCTTTAGACACCGGTCTACTACACATCCTTATAGATTGCTTTTCTGTATGAGGGGAATAAGCCATTGCAGAATCCAAAGGTCTGGGAGAATGTAGCTCAGCTGTGCAGGGAAACCATTTTTCAGGACCATCCTGACTTTATTTTATTGAGCACACATACTGCTGTGTGCCCAGTAGAGCTGGCTCAGGAAACAGCACGTTTTGCAAATAAAAGAAGTGCAGATTAACACAGAAGCATATCCATATAAGTAAGATGCCAGATGAAAATATAACATACTGGAAAAGAAATATAACATACTGGCGGCAAAGAGTTAACTTATTAGAGCTTGTCCCAAAGATGAAAAGAGGGCATTTGGAAGATCTGCCTGGTAGATTGTTTAGCCACATGGAATGAGAAGGAGGACAATGGAATCAAAATTGACCAAAGGGAAGGTTAATTATGTCTTATGTTTTAGTCATCCAAAACGTAGGTAGGGTTAAAGGAGTATTAGAATAAATCCACAACATGAATAAAAGGACTTTTTCTGGCCATGGCAAGAGTTTCCCAGGTAGAATTCATTGGAAGGAAGAAGGCTAAAAAGCATTCAAGCAAATGGGAACCTGTAGACATGCTGAGTTTACTTTGGGCTGGGAACTCATAGCACTGACTGTCAAAAAGCCTGCTGTAC